TTCGATGGATGATTCACATTGAACAGTTGACTTGCTACTTCTGACTGTGACATTCTCTACCTCCTCACACTGTTGCTACTCAGTCTTGATCATACACGTCTTTGGCCTGACTGCTAATGGCAACACAGAAGGGACCACGACCGTGAACTTGATACAGCTCTCACAATCAGCACTCAAAAAGTATGATGATCTTAATACAGCTCTCCCGGCTTCTCACGAAATATCGATGAATCAACTAGGGGTATCCGTTCATCGAATTCTATCACAGATATAATTCTGGTGGGGGAGTACTGTAGTGTATCTACCACTACAAAAACACAATTCCAATTCACTAGTATATAAGACTCGATTCTTTGTTGGGGCTCCTTTTTGATAGATGAAGGTTTACATTATTGATAAATATATCCCCACAACTGCTATAAAAAACTCAAAACTACTGAATTACTTGAAAGTGTAACCATTTTTCGATGTCTCTGTGTTGATTCAACCACCTTAAATTTACATTTTGTTTATTTTCAGCTCTTCTAGTACTGTTGAAAGATCAATCCCCAGATGTGAGAATCAGAGTAGCTGATTCATTGAGTTTAGACGACTTCCTTTGTTTGTTCTGCCTACAAGAACTGAAGAAAAAATGTGCTTGCAACCTTTTTTTAAAAAAAAGAAAACACAACTACTTGTAAAAAATTTTACTCTTGTAAAAAATTTAAATTGCAGAATTTTTAAAATTTAATTGCCATTATTAAATGTTAAGTTTATTAATGTTGATTTTATTATTCCGTTGTCTATTCTGTTGGGACAAAATTGAAACCTGATCATTTTGTTCAGTTATCATTGGAACTTCATTTACAACTTTGTTTTTATAATTCCTAATACTGTTGCGACAACCTTTTTTTTAAAAAAAAAATTCCTGTTTCATGATTAGTTATTATAAAAACTTTTATTATCTGTTTATTACCCAAAATATTTAACAACTATGTGAAAAGTTAATTTTTAATGTTTTACAATTTTGTATTAATTATTTTTATTGCATTTTTTGACTGGTATGGTTTAATGTAAAACATATTATGAAGGCGAATGTAACTTATTTGTTACTTTATAATTGCAAACGTAGTTACATAACGTTTTAAATATGTTACAATAAAAACATATTATTTATCTTACAGTATAAAGCATTTATTTATTTTTTATGCACAAACATGACGAGATGTTAATCGAATTTTTTTTTCCGTAATTTTACGACTAATGTTTTTCTTTATGAATCATCTACTGAAGAAAAAAAATTTTTTTTTTTTCCCTTCAAATTCAATGACTGAATTTAAAGTGTTAATATATTCCATAAATTACCAATCGTTTTATCTTGATGCTCACTTCTTTATCTCACTTTTTTTTAATACAAGTCTTGCAAATTTATTTTTAAAAAAACTTTCAATTTCTGTTACAGTTACAAAACGTTTACCAATAAAAACTATACCAATAAAAACTATACCAATAAAAACTATACCAATAAAATCTATACCAATAAAATCTATAGCAGAAATGAAACTTTTTTTTCTTTTTTAAAAATGTAATAAATACCCAAGTAGCACAGAAACATCGATCTATACCGTGGCCGTTCCTATCAATATTTTGAAAGCGGAGGAATATAGATACTGTGAACAAGTTATTGAATGAATTCCGTCAATGAAACTTTAAAAGTATTTTTCTTAAAACACTCCATATTAAATATATTTTAGTTCTAAAGTTCAAAATAATTGTTAGAGGTAAAAAAATGAGTAAAATTTCTTTATACTTGCTCATATTAGTGAAAATAAAAAAAATAGAATTCCGTGAAAACGATATGGTACAGGATTGGAACGTGAAGCGAACTCGATATTGTAATCGACGATAGCTTACAACATTTATCGATATGAACGTTTGTCATGTGACTGTGAATCTTAGCGTCTTAGCTTTGGTCGGTCGCCTGTTGTTTAAGGTTAGGAATTGTTTAGATTTTAAAAAAAAAACTAAATAAATATACTGAAGGTGACGCCGAATTATTCGAACCTATAGAAGCAAGCAAAGTCTTCCAAGTTTGCAAGTAAGTTTGTTTTTATTATGCATATTACTTTCATGGGTGCCACTCTTCAGTCCTGGGTACTGAAATCAGTCTTGAGAAAATTCAATGGACTAATAAATTCTATCAATTAAAATAAATTTTTTTTTCACAAGAATTTTAAAAAATTTTTGGTCAAAATAAGAAAATAATATATCTTAATGAAAACATATGATATGGTTATGATGTCAGGACTTTTATAGCTGTTATTTTTCATTTTGTTTGCTTAAAAAAACATTAAATAAAGAAAAAAAATTTGAAAAAAATAATCAAATGATTGATTTAATATGTAGGTATTAAGGAAGGGTAAATTTTGGTGTCAGCTATAAATTTCTAAAAATTTGGTAAACAACGCTAGACAGTATTATTGGGTCAAAAAATAAGTTCAGTCTTGAAATTTTTTTAGAGTGGCACCCTTAATTACTTCACGTTATGTAATTTTTCTAATCATTAGTAAAGTTTGTTAATGCTAAAAAATGTACTAGCATTTTTAAAGTGACATTTTATGATGTTTAAGGAAGGAGAAAAGAATTTTACTACTGAATATGAAAATTTTACACTAACTAAGACATGTTTGACAGAGTAGAAGATATTTAAATTTTTGTTTCAGAAAATTATTATTGATTTAAAGCAAAAGGACATTTTAGGAGTTTTGAAAGCATTACTTTTATATTACATTACATTTTGNTAGCATTTTTAAAGTGACATTTTATGATGTTTAAGGAAGGAGAAAAGAATTTTACTACTGAATATGAAAATTTTACACTAAATAAGACATGTTTGACAGAGTAGAAGATATTTAAATTTTTGTTTCAGAAAATTATTATTGATTTAAAGCAAAAGGACATTTTAGGAGTTTTGAAAGCATTACTTTTATATTACATTACATTTTGAAAACATTTGAAATCCATTCCTAAATTTATTGTCTTGTCCAAGGTAGACAAATTACTAATATTTTCGTAATTGCCATTGTATCTTTTTTATTGTCAATCAGTTTGTTGATAGTAGATGAAATCCTAGCCGTGTACAAATATAAGCCTTTTTCCTTTTCAAAATTGCTCTTCTAAATTTACCTTAGTGTAATTTTTTCTATTAGTATTAGCAGTAGGATCCAAATGAAAAGGTAGATGAATTTTCAAGTTCATTTTCTGGTGTGTACAATATTTTTTTTAATTTGGAAATTTGCTTTTCAAATATTAACATTAATTTATACAGTCAAACCCCACTATAGTAAATCTTAAAGGGACTAAAGTTTCTGTTCACTATATCCACTCTGCTAACAATTTTATCGAATTGTTTCAAACTCCCCCTTTTTATTACATACTATTTAAATGAATGACCAATAAAATGAATACAAAAATGACTGTAAAATAATATGTAGCAACAAAAATGTGTGAGCTTTTATTTTTATTACCCTTTGTCTTGCATATAAAAAAAAAATTAGTAATCTTTAGCTGAGGAGCAATCCTCCACATCAGATATGGAAACCACCTCTCTGATAATTTTTCCTGAACTTATATTATTCCGCTTTTAAGACCTGTTAACCAGGTATTCGAGCCCATTATAGTAGTTTCACCAAAGCGATCTGCTTTAACTTGAAGCATACTGGAAGATTGCAGCTTTTTTTTAATGCTGATTAATAATGAAGCAAACCAGAAAAAATGCTTATTGCTACATTCCATGCTATAGATTCCATTGCGAACATTTTTTTCACTATAGCGGGGTTTGACTGTAGTTTATAATGCA